CAACATAGATGCTCTTTATACGAGTAATATAAACCTATTCAGCTGTGCACCGTGATATAGACTAGTGCGTTCACCATGTTTCCAAGCCCATACACAGTTCAACATAAATGCTCTTTATACGAGTAGTATATAAACCTATTCAACTATGCACCGTGATATAGACTAGTGCGTTCACCATGTTTCCAAGCCCATATACAGTTCAATGTAGATACTCTATATACGCTATTCAACTATGTACCGTGATATAGAGTAGAGTTCATCATGCTTCCAAGCGCATACACAGTTCAGCATAGATGCTCTTTATACGAGTTGTATATAAACCTATTCGCCTATGCACCGTGATACAGAGTAGTGATTAAGAGTGGTACCTTTGCCATGTTCCCAAGCCCATACTTAGTGCAGTATATATTTCTTTTCTTGTTCTGTGTAGTGAAAAAGTGGCTGGAGCCGGTCTCGCTAACGTGATGTCCAAGATTTTGCATCCGGATATCGCTGACGCAGACGACGGCCCCATTCTGGCCAAGGACAATCAAGTGAAACGGAAGATTGAGGAAACGAGTAAGGAAGAGAAATCACGGAAACTGACGGCGCTGGAGAAGAAAGAGCGCAAGGAAAAGGGCCACGTGGACGCCAGCAAATCGTCACGCATGTACGAGCGAAAGCTGCAGAAGGTCGCGACGAGGGGATGTAAGTGGTACAGGGAGCGTAGTGTCCGGGAGACCTTGGGCTCTTGGTGTAGGCAAGCGTATGACCTTATGGATAGGCTTTTTTCATAGAGGGTGTCTCTGATGCTCGGGTGTTTTGCAGAGTACCGAACTTGCTGTGGAGCAGCATGTGTAGAGCGCGGTTATGGGTGTCTTTATTCGATTCCGATTAGTGTGACAGACCTGTGGTCGATATGGCTTGACGACACTTTGTCTGATCGGAAGCACCTTGTTTTTACGGATATACACGAGTATATTCTAATTGTCTTTTTCTATATATATATATGTACATTCTTTTTCTATATATATATATATGCATATTTTTATTTATATTAATATATATATATATATATGCATGTGTGTTTATATAAATATGCGTGTGTGTGTGTGTGTATATATATTTATATGCGTGTGGGTGTGTATGTTTTGTATATCATCTTCCTTCCTATTTAATGGTTGGTAAAATAGTATTCACCTGAATCCAGGACATACGGATCTGGCTGGCACATCCGATTATCCGTGCCTGATGTCTCGCTCTTTTGAATACAGATCACAGTCAGGCCGAGACTCAATTTTTTGCTTTGTTTTGACGCCATGTTATGGCTATATATATGTATGATGTATGTCTGTATGTATCTATATCTATATCTATATATACATATATAATGATATTGAAACAACGGTTCAAGAGTATAGAATATAGTGTTTTAGAGTATACGATCAAATGATTATATGCTTTTATGTCATCTATCGCTGGCATTGGCGAGTCTCCGCTATATAATAACCGATGCAGATATGTCCATACATCCCATCTATTGCTGATACTTGTGTACCTATCCCTTCCCATTGTTCATACCTGTGCACCTGCCTGCACCACAGTGGTCAAACTATTCAACACCATCCGCAAGCAACAACAAGAGCTGGATGCTAATCTGGACGGCGTAGCAGAGGGCAAGAAGAAGAAGGTCATCAACGAGACCCTCGACAAAGCGAAGTTTATAGACATGCTCAAGACAAAGACCATCAGTAAGGAGACTCAACTGGCCGCACGACTGACTGGAGATGGGGCGGAGAGTGCGGGAGCCACGACACAGCCCAATGCCAGGCAGAATGGGGTGGACTGGTTAAGTACAGACTATCTTATGACTCATAAGATGAAGCACTTTGACCGAGAGACGACGGACCTCGAGGTCGTGGACGATGGGGGCCACGAAGAGGTCAATTCGGATGAGGAGTAGAGAGGGAGGATAAAACCCTAAAATATTAAAAGCAAACTCGGGGAGTGCATGCTTCAAGTATATATCCTAAGTATATTACCCTATGTATGTACCCTAAGCATATATCCTAAGTACATATCGGAAGCATATATCCTATGTATATACCCAAAGTTATATGTCCTAAGTGCATATCGGAAGTATCTATCCTGAGAACTGATGGAATCGGTTAGCCTTCATTCAGCTCTAGGTGAATTAAATAGATGGCAGCTCATGGATTTCAAATACGCTACTGTACTTGCATTCCGGATCGTTTTCCAAAGAAAAAAATGAACTTGCTAACCTACCCGGTAAGAGCCTATGCAAAATTGGACTCAAGTGCATGACAATACTTAAGCCAGGCAGGTCCTACGATCACCCAAATACACGTGCACATATAGTCTTTGATAGACCCACCCCAACACGAACTACATACCCGTGCACATATAGTCTTTGATAGACCCACCCCAACACGAACTACCTATCTCGGCCACCCCGGAGGGGATCCAACGCAATACATATGTCTTTTTATCTAAACGCTTCCTTGTCGGTTGCTATTCAGTAGACCGCCTCGTGACTGATAAATACATAACGTAATACAAATAATATTTTATGTACACTCTTCCTTGGCGGGTGCGATTCAGTATGATCCGTGATTAATAAACACAACGCAATAAAAATGTTTTTTTTATTTATCTCTTCCTTGTCGGGTGCTATTCAGTAGAATGATTCGTGACTATTAAACACAACGGAATATAAATTTTTTTCATTCCCACGCGCTTCCTTGGCGGGTGCTATTCAGTAGAATGCTTCGTGACTGATAAATACACAACGTTATACAAATACTATTTTATGTACACTCTTCCTTGGCGGGTGCTATACAGTATGATTCGTGATTAATAGACACAACGTAATACAAAAAAAAAATTATTCCCACGCTTCCTTAGCGGGTGCTATTCAGTAGCACGCTTCGTGACTAAAAATAAAGGGCCTCGTGTGTACGACATTTCCAAGCGCTGTTGGAAGAGTATCGAGCACGGGCGTGTGTGCACAATGCACTCGTCTGTCCTCAGTCAGTCTGTCGAATTGCCCACAACCTGCACGGCCACGCGACGTGGATGTACACAGCATGTCAAATTATCAACCCCTCTGCGGATTAGACGGATTAGACAGTGAGCGCCCCTGTGCTTGGGTGGTTGTATGGTATGCCGTACGGGTGGGATACAGATCGTGTTGTGACAATGGGTTTGACATGTGTCTGGGTTTGACATGTGTCCGCTACTATAGACCAAGCCGAACACATCTATCTACAACCTCAGGCCAAGGGACTCTGGGGTGCCCATAGAGTGCGTAACCATCTCAGCCTCGCTGGTGGAGTAGGATGTACACTCGGGTGTGAGACTGAAGGGTGACTTTGCATGCGTAGCTCGCATGTCACATTGTACGCACGAGTGTACCGTTGATTAAACTACGTTGGATTGGATTGTACAGTAGGTGTGCATGTAGCGGTTAGCATCGTTACTGCGACCTCCAGTGCAGCGTTTAGGATTATTCATTATTCTAAGTTATATATTTAGTACTTGAGTTATGTTACTCCGTACTGTGATTATGATTATGATATTAAGTACAGCCCGTCTGGCATCCAGTACCAGTGATAATGGCGATGTGCATCTAGCATGTAGCATCATTATCCTTCCGCTCTATACCCTGATTAAGTATATATATATGTGTGTGTGTGTGTGTGTGTGCATATGTCTTCCTACTTGAAAAGTCTCCCTTTTCCAAATACTTGCCACAGCTGAGATACCGCTGTAGCCCCCCATCCAGTGGTTGTTCCCCAGCGCCCTACAGTCCTCGTAGAGCCAAACACGGGTGCAGACGTGCCAATCTCTTCGTATACGCCTTGCCTCACATTCCTCGCTAATTGTCTAGTACCGATGCCAGTACCCGCCCCGGCCCTCGACCATCATCTCACTGAAAGACGGCGGCATAGTCTTACGACACCGGTAGGGAGCGAGCACCTTGATATTCTTCAAGGACTGCCACATGGCCACGTTGTCCCAAAATATAGGGCTCCTGCCCTCTCCAAGACAAATCACTTCAAGCTTAGGACAGTTTGCCAGTGTTTGTCTCAGTATGTCTAGAGTGTAGTATCCGTCTACAGACACGTGTGTGAGCGAAGCCGAACTCAGAGGTCTATGGAGAACCGCATCGATTCGGAGTGTGGTCAGACGGGTCTGGGTCTGCATAAGGAGATTGACCAGAGATGATGAAGTAAGTCTCAAAGGCACGTTGTGAGTGTAAAGCGTGATACTCCTGTCTGGGTTTGCATAATGAGATGGATCAGATAATGAAGCAAGTCTCGAGACATGGTGTGTGAGTATAGCTCGTGATAACTGTATGTGATATATCGTGATACTCCTGCGCATGGAGAGTCGGCTGACATTTGTTGTATTTGACTACTGTCTGTATAACATGTACTATATGTACGGTGATATGTCATCGACATGTATTGTAGCCAGCAGTGTCACCGCAACAATAGGCCACACAGTGATGATGAAGCACAAGGACGCCAACGCAACCAAGCAGTACACACAGAGTACAACTATTCAGTGTGCCATCCAATAAATGATCCACAAGACACATGCGTTAATATATATACAAACAAACAAAGGGCCGGTTCGCATCTCAAAGGCATTGGCAAATACACATGCAACTATCAAACCCATCACACAAACACAAACAACCCAAAACAAAACACTCACCGCCAGCATACTGCCCAGGAACTCCTCAAAGTGCTCGTCGATTCTATCGTCATCTGTGGTATTCCGTGGGGTATAAACACAAGGTATTCGTATCAGTATATGCTGCTGTGATAAATAATGGGTATATATTATTCATATCAGCATATGCTGTTGTAATAAATATAGGGTATATATATCACTGTGGTGATGCTCATAGAATATTCATATCAGCGTATGCCGTGGTGATGGACATCTACGCACACTACACGCACAGGTGATGGACATCTACACACACTACACGCACATACCTACACCGAAGCTAATCTTGAGCGACTCCAAATCAGTAGGCCAGTTGCCGGAGAAGTTTTGCAGATCTTCCCCCTCGCCTAATGACACTGACAAGTGCTTCAGATTGGGATGCTGGCTATTTGCGGGCAGCGTAAAACTCTTAAGTGCCAATTCCTTCAGCGTCATAGAATGGAACGGCATTGTCAGCACTTTGGTCTGGTAGGTCTCTACTTTCGGGAACAGACTGTTATGGGAAAGAAAGGGAGGGGAAGGCGATAAACTTTAGATCTATATATCAAGATATGGATATATTAGATCTATAGATAGAGAGTAGATATCACGCAATGTATAGATATATGAGATCTATATATAGATAGAAGGGATATCTTTCTATGAAAAGTATATATACTTAAGATCTATATATAGAGAGAGAAGATACCTTACATCCATATATGGAGAGCACAGATATTTTATATAAATAGAGAGCGGAAATACTTAGATATATATATGGAGTATAGATATCAAAGATCTATATAGAGAGACAGTAGATACCTTGGATCATATAGAGAGAAAGGATACCTTAGCACAATATATGGAGAATATAGATACCTTGGATCTATATATGGAGGGAAGATACCTTAGATCTATATATAGAGGGAAGATACCTTAGATCTATATATAGAGGGAAGATACCTTAGATCTATATATAGAGGGAAGATACCTTAGATCTATATATAGAGGGAAGATGCCTTAGATCTATATATAGAGGGAAGATGCCTTAGATCTATATATAGAGGGAAGATGCCTTAGATCTATATATAGAGGGAAGATACCTTAGGTCTATATATAGAGGGAAGATACCTTAGATCTATATATGGAGGGAGGATACCATAGATCTATTTATAAAGGGAAGATAATTAGATCTATATATAGAGGGAAGGTACCTTATATCTATATATAGAGGGAAGATACCTTATATCTATATATAGAGGGAAAATACCTTATATCTATATAAGGAGAGTATATATATCTTATTTATATAAATAGAGAGGGAAGATACTCAGATTTATATTTGGAGAGTATAGATATCCTAGATTTATATATAGATAGTAGACATATAGATCTATATATGGAGCACATAGATACTTTAATCTATATAGAGAAAGTAGAGACACTTTAGACCTATACATGAAGAGTGGCGGATTATGTATATACATATATATATATATATGTATATATATATATATGTGTGTGTGTGTGTGTGTGTGTGTGTGTGTGTGTGTGTGTGTGTCGTAGTAGTGTAACGTAGT